ACATTCTGTTTGTTCTTTGCCTGACTTTTCTAATCCCAAATAATGAATGATCTATAAACTGACACACTGAATCGCTCTCTGTCTAAATAATGCAAATAATCACCCTATAATTCAACTATTTTGTACACATTAATTTTCATAAAGTAATTCACCCTTAAAACACAAGAGAGCATTTTTTTTCCCATAAAAGAAAAAGGCAACTGGGACAGGCTGAAAGTGCCTGGATAACTGATTAGAACAGGTGGGATGTTGCTTATCTTCCTAAGGCTCCATTCTCCCTGCAGATTTTATCCTTCCTGTTTGCTTTTGACAGATGTTTAGGAATACATAGGAAACTTGGGAATGATACAACAGGAACTGAAGACCAAAGCTGCTTGACACTGATCATTCTATTGGACTCTGGATAGATAATTCCTTATCCTCTACTTACTACCCCCACCCCTGCAAAGCTTAGGTTTGGAATTTTTCCATCAATTTGGGATATTGAAAAAACTCACATAGTTCAATTATATTAAAAATACTATATCCTTTTGGTACCTTGAAATATTTTCCCCTTACTTTGAATAATATACGTGAATTAAACTATCCAAATACCTCTGTGGTATTAGGCAGCAACATTTCAGCTTCAGAAACTAGTATGTAGTTACTTAAAACATTGTAATTTTTCCCCTGTCCTTGAAATGCATCATATAAATATTGCAATTGATCCTTAACTTCTACTTCATAAATAATTTATTTCAAGAATAATCCTTCATATGACCATCAGTTGCTGAGGTGTTCCGTTTTCGGGGAAAGCATTTATTTACTCCATGGACCCAAGAAGGTTGGTAAAGCCTTGGCTAAAAACTCCACGTGGAGCAAATTATGGTAACCATATTAATGCTTACGTCCACTACACTTAATGCTCAGTTCTGCTAAAAGGCTTTGTGTTGTATTGCTCACATCTTGCCGGGCACACAGAGGTTTAAAGAATTGCTAAAGATTGCCTGGAGCTAACTTTCAGAGGAGTTTCTGAAAGTCCTAAGAGCAAATATTCCCTTTAGCATTTTCTATTTTGAGTTCAGACTGAAAGTCTAAGCTCACACAGTGAGAAATAAAAATCAATGGACACATCACAATTAATTTTGATGAATGTGTAAATTTTAATTCATGCACAGCAATATTCTGGTTAATGATATCTCCTTAAGACATTCATTAAAAATGCATTAAGTTAGCAGGCAAAATCGAATAAAAGTTACCCTGGAAATTTTCTGCTTGAGTAATATTATGGGCTTCCAATAAGTATTTCTTGTAAGTATTGCTCTATTAGCAGAGCTGATACACTAATTTACATGTACCTTGTGTGTGGTGAGTAAAAGAGGAGAAAAATATTAAACTAGAAAATAAGAGCTGTAGTTGGACTTCAGTCACAGATCCTCCTACAATCAATACATATCACGACAGATTTTAAAAGCAAAAAATGATGATCTTCCTTTACCAGTCAACCCGATCATTAATTTATCTCCTTACTAATCAAATAGTAATTAGCTACAAAACCATGTAAGACTGCATTAGCACTGGAACTACAAAGGGATATAAGTGAAAATGCTTATGTCAGAGAGCTCACAGTGCAGTGTGGAAACAAGACACATAAACAGGCAATCAATATGTACTATAGCAAACTGAGGTCCACACCTCACCTGCGTATTCAGGAAAGAACAAATCTTCCCAGAGGGAAAAGAAATTTTAAAACTCACATAAGAAAACACAATTTCTGTCCAAGTAAAATACTAGTTTCTCCTGGTAGTGATTCAACACCGACTTCTCAATTATTCTTTCTGCACAAGTTACTTATCTCTGATTCTCATGTGGAAAAAAAGTTTTGTCAGCAGTTCTGAGATCTACATAAAACAGGTATATAGAGCACATAAAATGTGCTTGGAATATAGAATTGAATAGAACATTAGTATTTATTCACTGCCTAATACGGGTCACAGTGAAACATGGATGGAAGTCAGTATGTAAAGGAATTAGATCTGGTTCTCAAGGCATCCAAACACGAGTTTATATTTGTTTCTGTCACATGCAAACTGCACATCCACTAGTGAGGCACGCTTCCCTCTTCTGTACTTTGGTGTCCTTTCTCTCAGCACTGGGCTCTTCCAGTTCTTCCTCAAGGCAGGATGCCCAAGCAGAAGCTCCAGAAAACCAGACTGGGGATGCAGGACACAGTGACCCTGTTTTGCTCTAATGCCCAATGCATCCAGAGACCATGGATTGAATTCTGAACTCCCAAAAATCATATGGCAAAAGCTCCAAGCCCCAATGTGACTGCAGTTAGATCTTCTAAGAGGTAGCTCAGGTTCAATAAGATTATGAGTGTGTGATTAGCATTATTAGAAGCTGGAGAGCAACCTTTCACCTCCACCATCATACAAGTACAGAGAAGAGGCCATGACAGCAGCTACCTACAATCCAAGAGGAGAAGCCTCAGAATGAAATTCTATCTTGTTGGCACTTTGATCTTAGCTGTCCCAGTCTCTGTAATGATAAGAAATAAATATCTACCGTTTGAACTTCTAACTCTCTGGCATTTTTCTGGGGAAGCCTGACCAGATGAAGACACCTGGGAAATCTCTTTGTTATATTTCTTAACTCTTGTAAACCGTCTTTTAAAACCACTGTGCTTGTGATCATATTACGCCTTACACACTCAGGCAGAAAGGCATTTATCAATATTATCTATGTCAAGACACTGCAAGACAAGGCTAATATGTTCGCTGTTTTCCAGAAGCCATTAGGTTGGTTTCATTTTCTTTTTCAGGTGTACAATTCTCCTGTTGGACTTGAAGCACTGGACACAACCCTGGTCTGGCAGGCAGGAACCCTGACATACCAGGAGTATCTTCCTAGGGACTACTTAGGTAGGTAAAATTCAGTTATATTGCTCTCCAGGTTGCTGGTTCGAAGCATCCAAGCACTCAGAGTTCTTAAACAAATCACAATATAACATAAGGCATTAGTGCTTTCTTTCTGTTCTTTGCAATTGTATCCACCAGACCCTACTCTTGTCTAGGGGGTGGACATTTGTCCCAGTCAAGTTCAAGCTGCCTTTAGATGCTGAGTATTGTCCTGCTGCCTTATCCTGCTAGAGGTCAACTACAGAGCCATATTGCTGAGTCTAGTTCAGTCAGCTCTCTGCATCTGTGGGTTTTGCATCCAGGAATTCAACCAACTATGGACTAAAATACCTGACATGGGGGGAACTTTATTAATTATGTACAAAGTTTTCATTGTCACGATTTCAATCTAGCAATAGATAGCTTTTACTCTATCTTTAGTATTATAAGTAATTTAAAGATATCTAAATTATATGAGGGGGTGTGCAAAAATCATATGCCATTTAACATAGGGATTTGAGTATCCTTAGTTTTGGTATCCATGGGGAAATCTGGAATAAGTTCCATCAGTATAAAAGGACAACTGTATATCCCAACAAATCAGCATCTATTGGGTGAAGAAAAAAAAGCAACTTTGCTTTATATCTCAATAGTGGACATGAAACCCAAACTCATTTTTTGCTATCTGTACAATGGGAATGTTAAAACATGTGGTCTTGTGAAGGCCAGACACAATGACGTATATAAACTACCTAGCACAGGACATGGAAATCACCTACCTGCATGACAGCTGCTCTGTCTCATCCCTTCTCTGTGTCTCCAGCTCACCTCTTCTCCACCAGCTCAGATGCTGAGATGGTTTTGACTAACCCACAGGAGCCTCTTTCTGCATATTCCCCAGCTCTGACTTTTTTTTTTCTCTCTAGATTTGCTAGTTTGTAGTTAAAGAAATGGTAGATCATAGATTACCCAGCTAAGCAGCATTAGCACGGTAACTGCCACTTAGATCCTTCACAGTTCTTCCTCAGACTCTTGGTCATTTAGAGTATTCATGAGGATCCCACCAGAGAAAGGAACATTGAGCTGAAATAGCCTGCCATGTGGCTCAGTGAGCCTAAAGGATCAGAAGTTGCATCCACCTCCAGCTGTTCACAAGGCCACATGGAGTAGGGGTGGGGCCTTACAAACAAGTTGCAGGTCAGTGAGATATGGGACAAATGGTGTTTCCCATTTCCATGTTGTGCTTTCTTCAAAGCAATGTGGATGTTTCCCTGGTTTTATTGATCCTTCCTACACATTGGGTGTGAATTAGTGAGAAACAAAGCAGTCATCACAGGCTCAAACTCAGATTAGGCTGTGAAAGTATCGGAGCTCTAACAATTAGTCATTTATTCATTTCTATTTAATAACAGGAAAAATAAACCTCTACCTTTTCAACTCCACTGTCTTTCTATTTTATCATTACCATATTATAGCCTGCACACTAAACAACACAGAAGCACTCAGCTGAATAAACAGCCTTCTAGAGATGTAAGTAGTAACTACAAGAGATAAGCATTTTCCTGTAAGACGGCCTTGTAAACATTAAACTGTCATTACATCTACCTAGAACCTTCATTGCTTCACCAAGAAAAATCCTGTTAGTCATCTACCCCATTAGTACTTAGGACCGCCACATGAAACTACAAGTCTGGGACCTTGAAAGTCTGGGACCTAATTTTCAGTTTTTGTCTTGTTCCTGATTTTTGTAATTTTGAGATTCCAAGTGTACTTTTTCCTGATTGTAGTCCAGCCTCATTCCTTGATCCTAACTCAGAAAACTATTTCCCCAATGCTAACTGGAAATGACCTAAATACAGTTCACAATATTTCTGTTCTTACTTAGTCCATGCAACAAATTTCTTCTACCTAGTCCATTTCCCAATTCTGTACTTCACAGCAGGTTTGCACATCTTCACAGTCCATTCAAAACCAAGTTCACATCCTCATGGTTTGTACAGCATAATTGACTCATTGCTCTTAGAAACTTAGAGTTTATAGATTTCCTCTGTTTTTTAGAAAAATAAAAATAAATAATTATACCCCAACCTCCTACCCATATGATGATTTCCTCTTCTTTACCTATTTTGCTGTAATTGTCTGTTATAAAGTCTTCCAAACCAATCATCTTCCAGAAACTGTCATCCCAGCCTTTTTCTGCTGAGTATGTCCATTTGCACACCAGTGAGCAGAGTGACCTGTGAAAATAGGAGACAAGTCAATCAAACACTGTGAGCTAGCTTTCATTTGTTCTGGAAGATATCTGCAATTGTAATGTGCAAGTAGAATAAACCAAGAATATAAACTTAGATGCCTGCTCAGAGTAAAAGCTTATGTACATTTCTATTTTTGTAGTGCCTTCTTTCATTTGATTTTTTGTTACAATTAATTTATATAAGCTGAACAAATTTAATGTATTTTACAATACATGAAATTTCAGATTTAAGAGCATTGTAATGCTTTTCACCCTACCCTCCCTCCATTCCATGTTCCCCATTCATCCTTATCCTTCCATATTCCTTTTTTCAATGCTATATTTTCATTTCACTTCACATGCTATACAATTAACTGCTGTTTTATGTATCTCTCCTACAGCCCCACTGCCTTCCATGCTCTTCTCCATATTATATTCAGAACAGGCCAAATTAATCAAAAATGACTTGTTCATTACAGAATAAAACCCTTCAACCTATTCTCAGCAAATGGGGTGGTAGGAAGATAGGGTTAAAATACTTAACGACATAAGCATTTCCACCTTCAGTTTTCCCATTCTTGCTTTCTTCATACTAGAACGCGGAATTAAATGATGCCCCATATGGATGACATTGATGTTTCACTTAATCTTATTCAAACGTGCACTGAACCACTTGATTTCTTTCTGAAGTGATCTTCCCCATTGTATATCGAACTCCTACTTGGCCTTCACAGTGCAGAAGAGATGGTTCTTTTTTACGAAGCCCAGTGGAAGAAAGTCTGATTCCAAGGTCTTTCCCATGTTCCAACTTAGACTGCTATATTCACTATCATCATTGACTTTGTCTATCCACAATCTCATTGGTCCACTAAGCCAACACCATTTTCAGAGAAAACTTTCCAAAATACAATTATATATATATCTGGTCCATGGTAAGACATACATGAAGTCAATTAATAGTGACAGAATAGAAATATTAAGGAATGAATATGGGTTACCTATTCTTATCACAGGTAAATTGCAAACTGAGAGAGCTCATATAATGTTGAGGATAATCTAAAATCTATTTCAGAGATTTATCCATTCCCTCAATATTTGGTATTCAGGTACTATGATGTTGCTATTATGCTAGGTCCCAGGATCCACTGATAATGTGAATGGCCTGACTCTCACTTTCACAGAAGCTGGCATTTTTAAAAGGGGGACAAAAATTAATCAAATCTAAAATAGTTAGGCATTAAATTATCATAAATGTTTTAAAGAAAGTAGAGAAAGAAACAAATAACTTAATCAAAAAATCTGATATAATCATGGGGATTGTGGAAATCATCTGAGAGGGCTTCTTAGAGGAGGTAGCAGCAAAGCTTAAATGTTCTCTTACAGAAAATTTATTGTAGCAGTTAAAACTTGGCATGCTCACATCTCATTTAAGAGTATCTGGGTAGAGCCTTGATTTCCACCTGCAGTTCTAGCATTCTTCCCAATGCACACACTGGCAAGCAGGTAAGGACTCAAACAGTTGCCTCCCCCCTACTCACACGGAGGTCCCAGAGGAAATTCTGACCCTGATCTTGCCGGTACAGGCATTTAGGTAGTCAATCAGTGGATCAAAAATATTTGCCTATCTCTCCCTTGCCTACTGCTTCTTGTTGTTTCAATGCTAGTGAATTTTAAGTGTTATGTTAAGTGTTCTCATATTTTGCTTGTTGAATGTTATGATTAGACAGAAAACCAAGCCTGTGAATGCAGAGTATGTGAAAACTACATCTGTGAAAATATGGTTAAAGAGAGGAACAATGGAAGGAGTACCTGGGGAAGAATGCAGCGGAGTGAGCAAAGTGGGCAAGTCTTCTTGGATCCATTCTTATAGAATGTACAAAATCTGTCCTGCTCATACTAATAAAAATGTTTTAAAAATGTTTTCTAGGACCCAGCGCCATGGCCTAGTGGCTAAAATCCTCGCCTTGAACACGCTGGGATTTCACATGGGCACTGGTTCTAATGCCGGCAGCCCTGCTTCCCACCCAGCTCTCTGCTTGTGGGCCGAGAAAGCAGTCAAGGACGGGACCCTGCACCCATGTGGGAGACCTGGAGTAGGTTCCTGGCTCCTGGCTTCGGATTAGCACAACATTAGCTGTTGCACTCACTTGGGGTGTGAATCATTGAACAGAAGATATTTCTCTCTTTCCATCTCTCTGTATATATCTGACTTCACAATGAAAATAAATAAATCTTAAGAAAAGAAGAAAAAATGTTTTCTAAACATACGTGTACATAGCGCACAGGGTAAGAATTATGTAGAAACTGTGTAATGATAAGATCAGAATAATCAGATTTCCTACTCCATAAATATTTACCACTTATTTATGTTCAAAACATTTGTTGGTCTGACAGGTCTTTGTAAAAGAAACTATATTCACCCTAATCTGTTGTAGAACACTAGAATGTATTCTTCCTGTGTAATTGCATTTGGTACCAGGTGTCTCATATTTCTCCCTCACTCATACCCTCAAATGGCTCTCCTAAGTCAATAAATATTGTCTACCATTAATGATTATTTCCGATATGACAGAGATGACAGAAGATAATGGGCTGTATTACGTGGCATGGAGATAGTGCAGGGGTGCCGAGACAAGGAGAAACATAGTAAATAGGTACTACATTACTCACGGTATTAAAGCAACATCAGTTTTTTAGTGTATGAAGAAGATAGCCAGCTATGTAACATGTTCTGAAAAGTACACAACATGTGAATCCTTATTAACCCAAGTTCTAGAATTCCAATTTTTGGGAAGCTTTTATAGGTCACTAGAAAGAGCACTGCTAAGAAGCACAAGGCAGTGTAAATAGATTGCTTCCAACGATTCAAGTCATTAGAAGCAACTCCTCAATCTGTAAATCTTCCCTTCATATTCACAGATTTCCAGAGCTCTTATTTTCCTCTTCTGTCTCAGTTGCACTGTCCACTTGGTAAACCCTGAGTCATCCTTATGATCCAGTGCCAATATCGTCTTCTCAGTGAAATGCCCCCATCACATCCAGGCTAATTTCATGACTGTCCTTTGATGTTCCATGGTATGATAAAGAAACATTGCATTGTAGCTCTTAACAGATAAGCTTTGAGGTGTTCATTGCCCCAGGTATTTACCCTCCAAATACTCATATCCTTTCTTGTATAATTTTACAGTGTTGCACTGCCTAAGCTGCTAAGAGCAATGAGACCAGAACTATGCACCAGAGCACAATCTATGTCAGCTACCTGCCCATAAGCCAAATAGCTATTTTACCTTATATTTTTCCTTTTAATTTTTATTTATTTGAAAACTGTAGCAACCAATAGAGCAAGAGCGAGAGTGAGTGAGTGAGAAAGCGCAACTTCATCTACTGGTTCAATATTCAAAGAACATCAATAGCCAAGTTGAAACCAAAAGTCCGAAACTCCATCCAGGTCTCTCACATGGGTAGAAGGGACACAAAGACTAAAAGTCATGAGCCTCTGCTTCCAAGGTCACATTAGGAGGAAGCTGGTCAGAGGTATAGTAGCCAGCAGATTTCTGATCACAGATGTGGGTGTCCCAAGTAGTAGCTTAACTCACTGATGCACATTAGCCTCATTTATTCATTTATTTATTTTTATTTGAAAAACAGAGAGAGAGAGAAATAGAGGCAAAGAGATTTTCTATCTATTAGTCATTCCCTAAATGTCTGCTATAGCCAATGAGAAAGCCTGGGACTTAATCCAGATCTTTCATGTTTTTAACAGAAACTTAACTACTTTAGCCATCACCTGCTACCATTCAAGATACAGAATTGCAGCACAGTGGAATCAGAAGTGGAGTTGGGACTCCAACCGAGGCACTCTGATATGAGATTCAGACATTGCAAGCAGCATTTTAACTGCTATCCACAACACTTGCCCCTAAATGACAATTGTGCTACACTACTGAACATTAGTTATGGTTTGAAACAGAGAAATATTTAAACAATTCAACACTCTGTAGAATAAGTTATCCCACATAGATTATTTTTCCCCACTAGCAAGAAGGATCAGGGTATCCCAGTCCTTCCAGCAAGTTAATATAAGTGGCTAAAGAGCACTCTTGGAGTAAACAGGACTGAATACATCAGACAGGGAGTTTTGTGCCAGTCATATGCAAACACTAACCACATTAAGTCTATTCAAATAGAACTGGAGTCCATTCCATTTGAGTCTCCTTAAAACGAAAATGGTGTGTTACATGCAAGTGTTAACAAATAGATTTGTTAAAATTTGGGGCACATCAGAGGCTATAGCTTCTCCAGAAATCTCCAGGACAGACAAAAATATAGCATTTAAAAAAAAATCATGTTACAGTTTAAAGGCAAGGTTCTAGCTACCTCTCACTGTAGCTTCTATTACAACCAGGATTTCAATATTCCCTGAAGTGGTGTAATGGGAAATGTGCTTCCAAAGATAGCTCTTCACCTACAGGCATGCTATGTACCTAACAGCCCTTTGTGTAACCTACAGCATCTCCAGATACCTGATTTGATTAGAGTGTGGGTCCCAGCAAGTCTGAGGCTACACTGGCCAACTGAGCTGTATCAGGATACATCTGAAGAGAAGTACTCATGTTGTCCAGGAGCCTCTAAGAAGAGGACAGCCACACGGGTTGCTCAGCCTGTTCCCTGTCTGCAGGATGCCAGGAAACGAAGTGCCACCTTTCATTGCTTTTGGATTTTCTCAGAGCTAAGTTGACTCTAAAAATCTGTAACCATGTATCAAGGCTGAAGAAGTATTAATGATTATGCAAAAGAAAAACAACACTTAAATGAGCAGTTGAGATCCCCTGAGGAATCATAAAGGTTTCATTGAAATGGGAAATGATGAGGAAATCAAAAGAAAGCAGCAATGATGAAAACAACGAGAAATCATGAGAAAAAACTTTTTGAGACTAAACATACTGACTTAAACTTCATGTTTTAAAATTTCAAAGGAGAACTACTAAATTCTCTGTCCCTGAA